AACAAGAGACCACAAGAGTGAAAAATGTTGTCAATCTTAAGTATACTGCTTGATGACACATAAATAGATAAGTAGTTCACAACTTGAAATCATCAGTTGATAAAATTGGCAAAAGCTGCTTAAACAGTTAATTAGGAAAACAAAACACAGATACATACTACCATGTAAACCATTTTTAAATTATGTAATCCAAAGAAGCATCTATTATGTTATCATATGATAGCTGCTCACTGTCATGCATATATCATTTTTTTTAATGGATATAGTAACCATGCACAGCACAGCATCGTATCTGTCTCAGGTAATTCAATATGAGACTCATCAGGTGTTTCACAAAACCATGTTGTCATGAATATACAAGGTGATGACTCTTGAGCTTGACTAACATATTGGAAGTGATGGAAGCAAGCAGGGCAGGCGTAAAATAACAATGTTCCTTCCATTGTTGGCAACTAAATTCTGCATGAATTAATCTATTGTGGCATGAAATCTCTTACCAATTGTAATCGGGATATTCAGATAGGGTATTGACATATAGATAATATCAGGCAATTATCAAGGACATTGAGACAATGAGAATAGACGAAGAAGAAATGGTTGAATCAAGATGTAATTGCTAATCCACAAGTGTGCTTGTAACCAATGAATTAGTTAGCAAAATTATGTCATCTTCTAACATGGTTGTAGAACACAAGATTTTTTTTTTTTGTAATTCCAAAGAAAAATGGAACAACATGCATAATTTTTTTTTTCAAGCTATAACTCATCAATTGTAACATTTATGTCCATCGAGCAGTTAGTTCAGGTTCCTCACAAACTCACAACTAGTTTAAAGCATTCCTTCCTCTTAAGTAAGCACTTGAAATCTGACAACCTTTACAAGCCACAACAACAACAAAGAATCATAACCTCAATGAAGGGATGAATTTCTATGAAACCATCTTTTCTTCCATAATAAAAATCCAAAGAGAACATGGTGCAGGAAGTACTTCATGCATGACAACAAAATAAAGTTGAGCGCACACTAGGTGATGCATGTAGCTGGTGGAGTCTGTTGAACTAGTGTTTGATTTTAATTAAAAGATAAAAGAATGATGGTGTTTGCTCTTAAAAAAACAGAAAGTGCAAAAGCAAAAGTGACAATATGTACCTCTCCAACAAATTCATCCTGGCAGTTCGAATTGGCAGCACAAGTGTCCCATGGATCAAAAATCACATCTATTCCGTGATCATCAAAAAGATGCCCTGTTTGGTTATGAGATAAACCAAAAAGTTCTTCATAGTTTTGAAAAGTCAAATCCACATCATCCAAATTAAAATCATCACAGAGACCATCTTTGCATAATTCAGAATCATTTGTCCCAGGACAAGATAACTGCAAATGAGTCAAAAAGCTATTGGCAATTGGAATCAGTATAAGAAGCTAAACATTGAAGTGCACTTAAGCATATTCTCAAAGAATAAGGACCGTACTTAGATCTCACAGATAGTGCATCATATATTTAAGTTACAAATCAGTTTCTCTCAGCAAATTTTAATCCTTCAGCCCAAATGAAGCTTCTGCAGCAGCCGAAGAAGAGTTTACTATAATCTACTGTAATTTATGATACCAGAGGAATGGAGGAACACCTAAACCTATTAATATATCGTGTAGGCTGCTCATTAATGAGAAAAGCAACTACACATCTTTTCTGGCAACAAAAAATGAGGAATGAGGTGTAAAGCAGCATGGCTGAGGTTCTCACTATGTGAAAATGCCAGAAGACCTGATACTTTGGTAGACTGTAATTAATGGTACCAGAGTAATCAAGGGTACACCTAAACATATTAATCTATCCTGTATAGATACTTGTTAATGAAATTAGCAACTATACATCTTTGCTGGCAACAAAAAAAGATCTGGAACATAAAATGCAAGTCAACTCTTGGTATCAAGTCTGTTAAGGCAAAAGAGGAATTTGAATTGTAGAGCTGCATTTGGTAAATGAATTTGTAGTAGATTTTTGTCTAAAAGACAGCAACCATTGATGGGCTCTAAAATTTGAAGCTAAATAAAGTGAACTAAAACCTAAATGCACCTTAGGTGTAGTTGAATCTACTGAACCAGCTACCAGATCAGCAGTACAGGGCATCGAACATATTGCAGGCCCCGAAGATGATCCAATCAAGGAATCAAACTTATCAAAAGCTCCTGGATTATTCAGCTTGCCTGCACCAGAAATGCTGTTTTGCGGATGTCCCCAACAATTAGTAACACTGTTCTCATCGATGGTCATCAAGCCCAATCCCTGTTCACAATCAGCATCCTCTATAGGAGGAAACTCCTTAAAAAATGGCCACATTCTCGAAAGCTCAGCTGCAGACGGGCAACCTATGTAGCAATTTATTGTCTCTCTTTTATGTCCTTTGGCAACTGCTGATCCACCATCCTTATTCCAATCACAATTTTGGCAGAGTGAAACACTTTCCTCAATGCACCTAACAAAAGCAGGTTGTGTGCTGCAACTGTCACACAAAAGAGTGCGCGAATGGCGTCGAGAAAGTGCATTTGCAGAATGAACTATGCGGTCACATGACAAGCACAAAGCAGCAGCATCGGACCTGCAATAGATGACAGATCTTTGCTCCCCACAAAAATCACAAAGATGGCTCATGCTTCCTCACTCTCAGAGGACAAGCAAACAAATCAAATTCTGCTCCTGTTCCTGTGGTTTAACAAGAAATGTCCTCACTGTCGTAGTTATCAGCATACTCCTGAAAAACTCGATCAATGTCAGCATATATCCAAAAGAAAAAAAAACCTAAAAGTTATAAGTTACTAAGTTATACTTGGCTAGGTTTCAAATTAGTAAAAACAAAAAAGAGAACTTTTCAATGCATTTTCTCAAATTTAGCCAAAAAAAAAGTCACAATTAATAGATTTTGTTATAAAGAAAGATTTGCCAGGCTGAGTTCATTAATCATGATAACAACAAAGAGCTAAGGTTAAAAGTCTAACTCCCAACATTGCTTACATACGAATTGCCAATCGAAATTTTTTATCTTATTGTAATAAAATCTCCACTTAGGAATCTCACAAATATATAGATTCTTTCAATCTGGCAACCTGTCTTTCAAAATTCACAAAGGCAATGGTCTAAAAAGTACTTCTTGGAATCTTGGAAGCTGCCTAACATCTAAAAGCGTATACGGAAAAAGCAAGAGACCTCCATGAACAATCCAACTTCACCGGCAATACTACTATGTCCAGCGAGAAGATTCCATGCTTCTCAAAAGCAACGTTTGGGAAACTGAAGAATCTGAAAAAGGATACTTTTTTGGTCAAATTCGACTTCCATCAAATCTAAGAAAAGTAAACTGATAAGACCAAGGTTGAACTATGCATCGCTTAATACTACGTCATTATCCCGCTAATTATCCAAGGAACGAAAAGACACACAGACAGCTTGTACGAAATCCACATCAAGGGGAAAAGAATCCACCTAGCAAAACGACTGATCATGACGCAAAATATCTAACGAGAATCAACAACAAGCTTCCTCGAAATAAACTACCGATTCATGGAGATCTTATCAAAAGCTTTCTCTTTCCGTGCACGGAACAAAAGTGGGAACCCTAGCAGAAGACGAGGGATGCAAAATCGAATTCCCACACGGGAGGAATCGTCGACGAACAGATGGGAGGGAAGAAAGGCGGGGAGGAAGATGACAGGCTGAGGAAGCCGGAAGGGGTTCCCGTGTACTAGACAAACTACTTCTACTCGTTTTTGAACTACCCGTTTTGCACCCGCCGTGTGGTTGGAGCCGGAGATGGAGAAGGTAGCGAAACACAGGTGGGCCCCGCATACAACTCCAGTTGAAGAAAGGGACGGTACGGGATGAGGGTGGGACCGTGAAAGGTAGTGAGTGCCCTCCAGCGAAAAGGCGACCGAAGGCGTGCCTTTTGTTTTCCTCGCTCCCCGTCCTTTTCGTTATTATTGCGCTTCCGTGGGGGCGTTTTGGGTAAATCGCGAGTGGGAGGGATCAGGTGGCGGCCTGCGCGGGCCCCGCGGACCGCCGCGATATCGAAGCAGGCCATTTCTCGAACCCACGACGACCTTTTCTTTGCCGTCGCATGTAATGACTCTTCTACCCCCCAATCCTCTTTTACTGTCATGGGCTGGGCCGGGCTTACGCTTGCAACGTCGACGGGAAACTTGTGGAGATCAAGTAATTTATTGATGATCAGATTACATGATCGTAAATATGAGATATAATCGATGGCTGCTGCAGTATCAATGACATCATTGCAACTAAGAGCCAAAGAAACTATGCTATTGGAGGACCAGCAAAGGTGACTATATATATATATATACCCCGTGACTAAGATTCTGACGCCGGTGTTCCGTGCAAGCCACCAAACAGGGGAAGCGCACTTCTCGTTCGTCGATAAGATGGGCTGAGTGATATTGGACGCATCCTGGCCGTCCGTCAAAAAAGAGACGTCTCAGTTTACCCGTCATCAAGTACGGAGCAATGGAAGCCGTCGGATGATACTTGCACGGAAATGATTGGAAGGGGAAACCACATGGACGGCTGTGATATTTTACCTGACAAATCGAATTTGGGAATATTTTTGAGATTTTCGGGTAGTTTTACTCTACCAAATATATTAAACAGTACTAAATGTTACAATAAAGAAAAAAACCAAAAAAAATGATGATGATAATATTTTCTTAGAGGTATTAATGATGATGACCCAAACAAATATCACAGATAATAACAGAGATACCGATCCAAGATGACATCATCGAATCCCCTGTCCTTGATTCGTTGGTGTCGATGTGGCTCGTACGTGTCGTATGAGAGCCGAGTCGAACTCACACGACCGCATCAACATCAGCAATAACGGGACGGGCGTTCGTGTTTCGTACGCGAAGAAGCGGCGTTAATGACAGACATTTAACGGACGTTATGAGACGGTGGAGCTCGGGACTGCTATATAAGCAATGAGGCCTTGTTCCGCGAGAGAAACGGAGAGGAAGAGCATCGTCATCATCGTGTCGCCGAACGCGGCCTACCCATTCCTCGTCTCTTGGATTCCCGTTCTTATTCAGCGGTAAGGTTCCCTCTCCGTGTCATTTCCTCGTTGCATCTTCGGGGTTGGAACCCTAATTTTGGTTCGTCTTCTTGGATCCGTGCATTCAATATTCTTCCCGAATCGGGGACCCCTCGATCGAAACGACGGTGTTGTGGATCTGTTTGAGATGGCAATATTTGGTTTGTTTTCTAAGAGAATTTTGTTATTTTCTCGTTGGGTAATTAAGCGTTCTGAAAGGACGATCTGCAATGTTTCCCCAGATTTATGTGTATTAGTGAAGTCGTAGATTGGGGAAAGAAGGAAAGGCAAAATTTTGGGGCTGAAGGAAAAAAATCTGGTTTGGTGTCGTGGGGAAGGAGAAAGGTACCTTGAAATTCATGTAATAGATTGTGCGAGAGAAATGGAATTTGTCATAAGACAAATGGTTAATTGGTTGTAGTTATATGGGAAGGGTGAAATTTGCTACTAATATTCATGGTAATTAGTATTTTCTCCGCTTTTACATTTAACTATACAACAAATTCATAGTCGTTTTGATTCGAAAGGGATTAAATTCATGATCCATTTGATTCGTAACGGATTTCTTAAGGTGGTCGCTTTGTCCGTAAGTTGGTTATCACTTCCCACCTGTTTTAATGGATTTTTCCGACTGTTTTCTTTTACCAGTATGAGTGGTCGGGATTATTAAAGAATAATGAGATATTGTTGTCTCAACTAAATTTGTATATTGCTTCATTCTCTGATGTCTTTTCGGTGTTCCAACCCTGGCAAGTTATTTGATTATATTACATTCGACATCAACTTTGGTTGGGATTGAATTGATGAAAACGATAACAAGTCCTCGCTGGTGGTATCCTATTTGCTACATCCGCATCACAGCTGAGTATCTGGGATATTGTCAATTTAACGAAACCTTGAAAATTATGTTCAACAGCTGAGTTGGAGTTCTGTGCAACACTGGCAAAAATAACCTTTCTTTTCAGATGACATTTTGTTTATGTTCACATTCTTTGATCACTTTCATATGGGTTTGGATGATTTATTCTCTTATCCCTAAAAGGCTGGACCATGTGCCTGTTGGTCTCTACATAACATTGACATATTGTCAGAGGTGCACAGAGTGTTTAGTGTCTATGCCTTTCTAAATGCTCCTGCAATTCCAGTGCCTCTGTACAAACTGGAAATTAGTGGACTTGTTAGATTTCTTTTTAATTATAATTCCTCTACCGTTGTGCTGAAAGATTGGGGAGCAAGCATATCTCTTAAATTCAGAATTGTTCATTTTTTGGTTCCATTTTGTTCACAATCTAAATTTCCATATCTTCATCTCCCACACTAGTCATTTGTAAAGTTTAGGAGTTTCTCTTCCACCCTGATCGGTGCTTCCTGCTAGTCAGTGTAGTGAAGTCCTTGCATACTTCCAATTTAATCAAGTTTCTTTAGTCCTTTGTATCAGAATCAAAATGAGGAGAAACTCAAAGTATATTAGAATTTTTGCCACAACTTTCGCTGTCAAGACATATATTTTGCTGATTTTGCAGGAAATTTAATTGTGAAATTCATTGGTTTTTATTCCAATTGCAGGAATGGAGTGTATTGATGAGTTGGAATTATAATGTTGCAGTGCCTAGATATTTTCAAGCATTCACTTGCTGTCTTGCTAAGGTGTTGTGATATTGACCTGTACAATCAGGCAAAGGGTCTTGAAGATCCTGAGGTTTTGGCCAGGGAAACCGTTTGTATGCTCATACCACTTCCTAAGTTGTGATCATTTATTGGCAGTGAAAATAAGAATTTTTTTGCATTTCTTGCACCTGTCCTTGGATGTGTGTATACTTTACAACAATGAAGTCCGCAAAGTAGTGGCTAAAACATTGTATGCTAATTTCTTTGCAGTTAGTGTAAGTGAAATAGAAGCACTATATGAGTTATTCAAAAAGATCAGCAGTGCTGTAATTGATGATGGGTTGATCAACAAGGTTTGTATCTTATCTACTTTTCATGACTATAAAAATATTTTGATAAAAAATTCCAGTCTCGTAATTTTTTGCTACATTCCATCAAAAATTTTGAACTTGATGAACTGGCAGTAGATTTTGCATGATTCTTTATTCTTTTGCAGTTATTAGATGTGTTATTAAATATTAACCTTTTCTTATCATTTAAAGTTTTGAAATCGTAAAGTTTGTGCCACTGTCCTGTTATAAGGGGTATATGCTTTTCATTTAAATTTAAGTTGTCAAGGTTTAATGAACAAAGTGCAACGATTCTATTATACAATTGACTGCTTGCTTTAATCATCATGTTTCAGGAAGAATTCCAATTAGCTTTATTCAAGACTAACAAGAAGGAGAGCTTATTTGCTGATCGGGTATGCCCTATGGAACTATTTGGTGCTTGATTTTCCCTCTGGATCAAAAAAATGTTTTTGTTTCTCTGTTCTGGAATATCATCACATGTTGCCAGGTGGTTGCTTCAACAGGATTGGAGTATCCCAGTGTTGAATTGCATTAAAAATTTCATATCTCAGTTTACATCCTTTACATTTTTTTCTGGGTCCGGCAATCTTTATCTCAGTTTCTCGTTGCTCACATAGGCCTCTCCTCTTTCACCATCTCTTTTAATAGAGTTGCCTTGCCAAAGCACTTATTAGTCTTGTACTCTGTCTAAAGCCACATCAGTTGGCCTTAGTTATAACCAGATAACCAATCCTGGTTTTTGGCATGGCTTATTTCTTATTTATGTGTACCATGTGGTCTAATTTATAAGCCTAAAGCTTTGAACGTGTTTTTATCATGAGTATACAGTGTTTTTCTAGGAGGGATTCCACACTCAAAATTTCTGTGCATGATTGAAATACAACCACTGGTTTCTGGTTTTATGCCAAGTCTAAATCATAGTAAATTGATTTTTGTTGGTTTATGTTTCCAACATGTAGTATGGGCTTTTTTTTAATGACAAAATAACAAGGCCGGTAACTTAGTGTTCTTGTGTTTTTTGTACATATGAAATTTCTTATGGCTTTTATAATTTTTAATTACACAGGTGTTCGACTTATTTGATACAAAACACAATGGAATTTTGGGATTTGAAGAGTTTGCACGTGCTCTTTCTGTATTCCATCCTAATGCTCCAATTGATGATAAGATTGAGTGTAAGTCTGTCAATGTTACTTCATTAATGCCTTGAAGAATTCTCAACATATACAGACTGTATGGTAATCAAATATTTAATTTGATGTATCTGGTGGTGCAAGTTAACCAAGTAAAGCACCACATACATGTTGAAGCAATGCAATTTGATGTAATATACTCTCTTTTGTTGTTTTCTTTGTTCAACTTGTCTGGAACATTCTAGCAGACAGATATGCCAGGATATGTTTGAATCCCAATGAAAAAGATCTGAAGTTACTATTGTTTTGTTAGATCCAAAATCCAGTGCACTACTATTGTTTTGTTACTATTCTTTTTTAAAATGCTGTCTTGGTAATTCATATGTTGTCACGTATCACATGCTAGCAATGTCATAGTTGTCTGGTTGGTTCCCTCCTATATCATGCATTTCTGATTCAATAATGTGTGAGTTGCAATCTGGACTATTCTTTTAAAAATTGTCACTATAAGTACCCTTAATGTAAATTTCTGATTCAATAATGTGTGAGTTGCAATCTGGACTGTTGTTTTAAAAATTGTCACTATAAGTACCCTTAACGTAAATTTCTGATTCAATAATGTGTGAGTTTCAATCTGCACTATTCTTTTAAAAATTGTCACTATAAATACCCTTAATATAAGCCCAAGCTTTTTCACTTGTACTATATATTCAAATTGTTTTCCTATTTAACGATAGGAATATAGTTTCAGGAACCTTTTGTCTTATTTGTGCTTTTTGGTATGAATGTTGGTTCTGTGTCAAACTTTCTTCACCCCCATCTCCTAGCTTCTTCTCATACTTGAGGAGTCCTGGAGGGTTGCTCCGTGGTTGCATGGACATATATTCTGAGATCCTACACGCTAACTAACTTTTTAGCTCTAAAGTCCATATCTTTCCTAAATTTTCTCTGGTGTAAAATATGACATTTGCTTTAGGGGATTGACATCATCTGGGTAGTAGATCATAAACATTTTTATTAAATCTTTCTATGGAGCCTTCTGGATTTTGAATTTTCTTCTAACACTACATTGGCATGGTGGAAAAAGCTTTGATCATAATGACTATAATATTTGTGTTAGGTCTATGTCACTCAAAATGCTACATTGAAGCCTTTCAATTCTATATTTCCTTTTGATACAGTGTCCTCTAAGATTTATATATCTGATATATCATTTCATGCTAATATCAACAACTAATTAGCTGGCAATTGCTAGATCATGCATTGCCATTTTCTTTTCGTCTTTTTTTTTTCCATAGTTGTGATGGTCGTGTCTCAACTCTTTTAGTTGGATTGTAGACAGGATGATGTGGGAAGTTGCTATAAATTTTTGGTATTTTGTTTCATTTTTTCCATACCAACTACCCATATATGCTAACTTTGTGTTTTTCACTGGCCATATTTTGTTTTGATGTTTTGATAATGAATAACCTAATGTTTTCTTTTGTTACAGTCTCTTTCCAACTATATGATCTGAAGCAGCAAGGTTTTATTGAAAGACAAGAGGTATTCAGTCAATAATAAAATTATTATGATTCTGTATATAATAAAAAATTCAATAATGAAGACCTTGTGCTAACTTCGATTCTCATATATGAACAAGGTCTCGGAATCTAAATAGCCTGTTACAGACACTTGTGACAACATAGGTTCTGTTCTCCAATTAACATATCATTTCTTAACTTTAACTCAGTGCTCTAACCAACTATGTTAGTTTGTGTCAAAATCACTTTCTTAGCTTCTAGTTGATCATTCAATTGTTAAATCTAGCAAAATCTATGCTCTTAAGATTGATGTTTGCCGCCAGAGGTGATACTGTTAACATCTATATGATAAATGTATTATCATGCTTAATGGTATTGGTTAATATAAAAGAGCAAGCAAATGACGGAAACATTTAACTAAAACAAAGTTATTTAACGCTGGTGATTATGAACCAAATATGTTTTCTGCAAATTTTCTCTGACAGCTAATGTGGTAACACCAAGAAACATGATATCAGCATGACATACTACACATTGAGAATCTAGAGCTATGGATGTCAGATGACCACTTGTTACAATAAAAGAAATAAGCAAATCTTTCTATGTAACAGTTTTCTCCACATTGCTAACGGATGTAAGTTGCTAAATAAGCTACTGCATAAATTTGATCAAAATTTTCATCCACATTTCGAACAATGACACACAGCTTGTAGTTTAGCAACTTTACCATATTGCAGTTTAGCAACCTTACCATCAGGCCAATGTCAATTAATTTTTGCGTGTATACCCTGTCAAAGATTTCGTATTTGCTTGCGAACCCATGTGAAATGCATAGTATCTTGTATACCCTTTAGCATGTTATAATTTATTACATGACTTCTATTGAATGAATGACATTGAGCATGTGTAATATAGAGAAATATATATGTGATATGGAACTTAAGAATAAAAGAAATACCAAGAAATCATTGTTTCTTTAATTAGCTTGTCTATCTATTCACAGTTGACTTGTTATTTTAGTTAGAACAATTTTATAGCTTATCTAAGCAATTGATTTATCGGGTCATATGTGTTTCATTTGGTATCGAAGTATGATATAACGATTTATTCTTTACAGGTGAAGCAAATGGTCGTGGCAACTCTTGCTGAGTCGGGCATGAATTTGTCAGATGAAGTTATAGAAAGTATTATTGATAAGGTGATTCTAGCATTTTATGTTGTCTTTATTCCTGATATAAATTCTAGTTATTACATACATGATGTCTTTGTGCTCTTTAATGAGTAACCATTCTAATATTATGATATTTTGCCACATCTTTGCATCACTTATTTTGTATGATTAAATACATGATTTTGTTTAAACTATATCTTTCCTTGTTCTATTAGTCCACCACAATCTTTGTGGAAGTTGAGTGATTGTTCTATTAGTCTGTGCGACTTGTATTAACTTAACCTGCAGTCATTTATTCTAAGCATGATTGTTACTTTTGTAAGGTTGTATGTACTTGAGCTATTGCCAGATAAAAAAAAAGGTGTTGCTGGAAGAATATGAAATGAGATTGAATAGGCCGTAGCGATAAACTATTTTGATGGTCATAATTGCTGAAAAAATTTGCATGGTTGGAAGATGTGATCCTAGTTGGATCTTGATAATATAATTGGTAACACGTTTCATTGCAATCTTTAGTGTTGTCTCAAAATTTTCTAATTACTACATTTATGGCTGTCATCCTCCTCAGTTACCATCTTCAGCATTTCTGCACATTGGTTAATGGCAAGATGCAGAGAATCATTTAATATGTTTTGGACATACATGAAGTTGACCATTATCGCCACAATTGAGGTGCAAGTCAAGAGAAGACCAAAGACAAATTTGATTAGAAATAACATATGTTATGGCCTTACGACTGTCAGAAGAATTCCGCAATAATAATGCTAAATGGCTTGAAGGATCCATGTGATCCAAAGTAGTCGGGTATATGGCCTACTGGGTTTTTAATTTCGAATGATACCGTCGATTGGGCCTATTTCCACCCCGTTACCATTCGAAATCGGCCGGTGACGGTCAATTTCAATCATCGCCGCTCGCTGCCGAGTGGTATTAGCCGAGGGAGAAGGAAGAAGAGGGAGAAGAAAAGGGAGAACCTGGAGATCTAGTGTTGCTCTCCCTTGACGATCCCGATCCGTCGTCGCTCTCCCTCGCCGGACGCCGCAGATGAGATGTCGCCTCCTCCTTGTCTGAGGCGATGAGGCCTCAGCGTCGTCGGCGACTTCTCATCCGCGTGGGGAGAAGAAACGAGGCGACGTCATGATTTTTTTTTTTTAACTTTTATTATTATTATATATATATATATACATACATATATATATACACACACACACACATCGAGCGGTACGCCAAGGCGTACTGCTCGGTATACTCATACCAAGCTGAGCTCGATACTCTGGTATGGTATGAAGTTACAAACCTTGATGGCCTGTTATATTTTTAACCTCCTGGATTTCAATTCTGTCCAAGTATGAGATGGAAATAGATTCAACTACACAAAAGAAAAAAAGTTGCAGTAGAATTGTAGTAAGTGCATGTGATGACCAAATATACTGCAACATATCTTAGGGACTGAAAGAGTAAAGAGGTAAAATGGTGTGTTAAGTTGTGGTCATGTTGATCCAAGTCAATGTTAATTCTTGGCTCTCAGTAGTTGCAGATAGCATACATCTTATATAGTTGTTACAGGAGGCGAAGAAGGCATAAGTTTTGGTGTGACTGGTATCAAGTTTTAGCTGGTTGGATATTTACCTTTGGAATATGCTTTATATTTCCAGTTTTGGTAATTGGAGATGCAAATTAGTAAATGTTCTGTCTCATGATGACATGGACAGCACATTGATGTTTAGCTACTCACTAAATTGACTTGTGATTAATGAAGTTATCATCTGACATCTAGTCCGTTGGTAACCTAAAAATCACATCATAAGCATCATTATTGTTTCTTTTAGTGAATTGTTTAATTAATAATCTTGTTGCACATTTCTAACTTGACTTACATGTGTTTCTTTCTTCTGTTGATTCTCAGACATTCGAGGAAGCTGATACAAAACATGATGGGAAAATTGATAAGGAAGAGTGGCGGAACCTTGTCTTGAGGCATCCTTCTCTGCTGAAGAACATGACTCTTCAATATCTCAAGTAATAATTTTCACTCTTGTCATTTCTGATTTTTTTTTTCAATTTTGATTTTCTAGACGACTGTTACATTTGGTGATAGCAATAGATTCTAGTTGATATTTTGGTATAGTGCGTCACTTCGGAGGTTTTATGATCATAGCAGCATCATTTTTGAGAAACTGCTTGGACCAGTGTATACCAGTCTGTAAAGAACTAGGTGCTGATCAACCTGCTTCGACTGGTTTGAGTCTGGTTCGAGGTTACCATCCAGTAACTCTGCAAAGCTGGGCTTAACCCATTCCTTTCTTTTTGTGAATCAATAGTTGTAGGGTTTTCAATGATTTAATCTCACTTTCGCATTCTCTGAACCGGAGAAAGTTCTGACTTCTGATCCTCATTCACTGCTATCGCCTGCTGCTCAACTGCTGCGGCCCCTGTCCGGTATTCCTCCTCTCTTCCTCTGCCTAGTCTTGTTCCAGCACCTATTCTCTTCCTCCACCTCGCCTTTTTTTCCTCCACTACCACCCTTCTCTCTGCCATCTAGCATGCCAACATATTATGTGTCAGCGTGCCTGTATGTACCAGACCTGGTCCCCGGACCAGTAAAGATCTTGTACCAAAAATTTTCAACCATGCTTAGTGGTTCCTTTTTTTGTCTGACAATGTAGTATCCAAAATAGGAGGTTAAACAATCTTCGTTCTTTGTTCTCTTGTCTGTATATAGTTATATATAATATGTAAGTTTCTGTTGTCAAAGAAATAAAAATTGCTCTAGGTGTCAAGCTGTATATCATATAAAGGAACATATTCCTGGAGTTTAGGACCATAAATAACAGTATCAGGAAATGCTCACAATTTGTATTTACCAATTATACTGGAATTATCCATGAAGAGTTGCATACACAAAAGAAAAGGTAAAACAAGCTATGTGAATGCTGCTTTTCTGTTTACAAGGCATCACAACTTTCAGAAGTTAGAGTTGTTCTATTATGAGATTGGGTCTGAAATAGGAAGGCTTGAGGAGTGGAGTTTATGATTAAGAAGTTAAGTTTCTTATTTCTATGGAATATTGTGGTTGCTAAGTACTCTTCTTACTAGCAAGACTATATCAAGTTTTCCACCCAATATGCTTTTTCAATTCTTATATATTCCATCTTCATATGTTATATTTTTTGATCTACCATTTAACTAATTTATGTATGTGAGACAATCATATTAATGTGGTACCAGTAAACAAGGCATGGTCTTATCCTTTTATTTTGAACATTATTATTATTATTATTATTATTTAAAAACCTGCAGTGAAGTACACATGTTCCTGTTTTAACTCATTTGCTGAGTGCTGAAAAGTGAAAACCATTCTTTATGGCTTTTACTTGTTAATATAACTGTGTCTTTAATATTGAATCTATAATTATTATTTTTGGTTTATAACTGTATAATAAGATCTGGTCTGTACCTCCATAATGTCTTGCATGCTGTGTCACATCAATTACATATATCGGGCACATGTCAAATAAACTAGAAGATCATTATTTCTGTATAATGACAATTAAAATTTTCTGTCTAGATAAATAAAAGGTCTTTGTTTCTAGATAATGAAGCAAAAAAAAAAAATCTTTGTTGTATGAATATTTAAGCTTGTCAGCTGAATTCATTAAAGAGAACATCTAATTTGCTTTTTTACTTATGAATATTCTTGTTATGGAGTTCATGCATGTCATCATGTAGTTAAAAACTAGTTCCAGCTAATTTACCACGAGTAGCTAATCAATGTGTTTTCTGTCACCAGGGACATCACAACTACTTTCCCTAGCTTTGTTTTCCATTCACAAGTTGACGATACCTGAGCATCTGATTCTCTGTTGCAATTTCGCGGACCAGCATATTTGTTGATTGACTTCTTCGATGTTTGGGTGATGTCAGATAAGTATCTGACCAAGAGATAGTTGATTGGTGTTAGGATTTTCTTCTCTTCATGGTTTTGTTTTGTGAGTGAATGATATCCTTCTTAATTTCTATTATCATCTTTTGTCGAATTATGTAAAGAATAACACAAAGTGACGAATTGCGTGAAAAATAAAATAAGAAAACATTAGTTGATTTGGCTTTAAGATGGCTAGCATACGAAGGACACTCGCTAACGGTGTTTGAAGTGTTCGGGCTTTTGTGTGATGCTTTGGAAAAGTTTCCCATCCCAACTTGATGGTTAAATCTTCTTTGGGGAAGCTTTAAAGCATTGATTTTGGAAATGGTATATGTATTGATTTACAATTATCTAACATGCTTTGGAAATGGTATATGTATTGTTTTTCCAACTCCTTGTAATATGCTTTACTGTCTATTTCTCTTTGGAAATAAGCTATCAAGTCAAAGTAGTTAACGAAGAGTGCCTCTAAATGCCGTTTTCCATATCTTTAATTTAAATCCTTACTCTATAGATTTTACATATAAAATATCTAACACACTCATCTTAGATTGAGGTTTGAAATCTCATCAAAATACTGGTCTGACTGTGAGATACCTACGTCGAGTTTGGAAATCTCATCAGATAAATTTTAAGACATCAACTAACTTTGGCTGACGACTATCTAATCCTTCAATTGGGTCTCATTTTCTACCATTCAAGGCTGCTCGATCGAGTCTCCACTCTTTGCACCAATTAGCAACACCATTTCAAGCTGTCCAAGAAATAGTTCTCCCAGTTTTTCGTACACGTGAAAAGCCAATCAGCTGATGTGGTAATCAAGTAGGTGTGATCGATCCAAATCTGAGAGCCAACCTGATGTGGTAATCAAGTTGTATTAGTTCTCAATACAAATGTCACCGATACATCAGCATCATCTTAAAACAGAAAGGGAAGAAGAAAAGCCAATGTATTTAGATAGACAACCATGAATTACAAAACCAAAAATAAAACTGCAACCCAACAATATACACAATTCATTAGTAGATCGCATGTACACCATAAACATATCACAACAACAGCAACAACCATACGAGTTCAATGAAGCGACAGCTCCTTTAAACATTACATCTTTGAGTGTTAATAGAGTTTAATCCTCTTGGCTATCGGGCTCGTGCAAATTGGGCAGACATTCAAATCCTTCCCGCAGTCATAGCAAGTCTGTTTACACAAGACATTGTTAGTACATGTCACAGATATCGCAAGCAGCAAAGAAAAGATATATGTACCTGATGCCCACACCCGAAAGCTAGGTTCTTCATTAGGTACCCACATATGCCACAGATCTGAATGTTTTAGAATTCATTTTTATTAAAGAAAGTGTATTGACCAGACTTTATCCCTTTTTTTTTTGTCCTAATTTGGTACTCAACAGATTGTATGAAGTTAAAAGTCAGAAACAACAAAGCCTGACAGTTTGCTTATCAACAAGCTTCAAATTAAATCGGCAACCTCTTTTTCTATCAACTAAGAAACTTGTAAAAGGACTGCAATGTGAGATCAAGTCATCTACAATTCTGACGTACCTTTCTCTCTTCTGTAGAACTCTCTGATGTCTCAGCAGGGATGCTTTTTTTCAATCCAGTACTCCGATAAGTAATGCTTGATTCTGGGCGTTTTGCAGTCGAACCATTACCATTCACTGGTGGCGGAAGACAAAACCTTTCCTCAATTCCTCTACGATTACTGAGAAGCAAGAAATTAAACAAACTCAAATACCTGGCAGTTTGTTACCACACAAAAAAGGAAGATAGAAAAAACCTATCAGCTCTAAACCTCTTGAAGATAAGACTAAAACATTATCATGATACCCGAGAAGTTGGAGATCCAGTGTTGCTTTGTATTGCGAAGGAATTTCCATCAAAGCTGCAAGTGCAAACTCCGCCTCCATTTTGCTACTGGTGATATTTCTCGACATGATTTCTGTAAAATTCACAAACTGCATGGTAATAAAACAAATGTCAAGTGATTTTTCCACACAAATGTAACATGTTAGACAACACACGTGTCTGAAATGTATGTTCAGCCTATTACCTGGAAATTATCAAATGCCCTAGAAGGTATGTTATCATCAAATTGCTGCATCATGTCCCAAGGACCATCACCGACTCCAACAAGAACTATTGACAGTGGATAATCACTACAATACCAAAGATGTAAATCAGAAGAGCAGACAAAATGTATATATATATATATATATATAAAGAATTGGGAATGCCTCTTGTGGCAAATGCCACTATTTACCTAGCTTTAACAATAGCATTTATAGTATCTCTCTCTTGTGAGCTTAACTGACCACAATCTCTGTCCACACTACGTGTAACCTAGACCAAGTTTAAACAAAAAGGATTAGATCAGCAATATGCAGAAATTACACATGAACTACCAGAATATGATAGTCTATGAACTTCAAGAACAAGTCCATCAAATACAGCTTTGTCCTAAAGAGTAAGCTGCTCTGGAGAGAAAACAGAATCGGAAGGATCAAAAGATGCATCTCATAACTGTCATGCTCTTCAAAAAACATCTCAAATAACTGCCATGTTCTTCAAGAAGCAGCTTGAGTAACAAACCTGTCCATCTGCTATAATAAGAAGAACATGATACTGGCCACCACTGTGATCTACGATGCTGATAGCTGTTTCAATTATTGGAGCAAAGGATGTTGGACCTATTATAAATACCAATAACCATAACTAACCAATTTGAAAATTTCATGAAGTTGGTGTAATTATAGGGAACCAAAACTACATGAACAAACCAGCAAGACGAAGTTGTGGAACTATTTCTCTGTATCTTTGAAGTGCTTCCTCAAAGCCATTACACGGTCGGTTGTCTGGAAAAAAACTGAACACTTTCTGATCATGAGTGGTTGCTGCAATAGAAGGTAGCTTAAAATTTCTAACAACTATAGATAAATTTTCCAGCTGAATAGATGTATAAGCTAGAGTGTAACTAACCATCTCCAAATCCAAAGCAGGGAATAAGGTTATCCTCATCGAATGCAGAGAGAGTCCTTCCAATGATTGATATTGCTTTTTCATAAGGGTTTGGAAAATGATCCATATCATGTAAACTTCGTCGATTGAAAGAAACCTTACCTAATAGCAGATTGCATTGACAAATTGTAAAAATGTCAAAGGCTCAATAATTTTATAACTTAATAATAACTAGCATTTTATGCTCTTTTAGTGTAAGACTAACTAAATCTAGATATTCCAACCACGATAATATAACAACAAAACCGTGAGCCCCAACTCCGACTAGAATAATCAATCCAAAAAATATTTTGGACTTGCATTACATAGAATCTTTAAACCAAAGGAGAATGACTCTTCTTTGACAAAGATTTGCAATTAATACATGCAAGCAACAGATGACCGATTGTGGAACTGTGATGATCAGGCAGCAAATCACCTTATACACACAGTCCTAGAAAAAGGGATATTGCTGGTATACATATGTAAGATTTATAAGGTGAAACTTTATGGTTGAGGTTGATCAATTCTCTTGATTTTAACCAATATGCTGAGTATAGTTAGAATAATTTCCCTGTAAAATCATATCAGAACATGGTTCTGTTTGATCAATTCTCTTGATTTTACCAATATGCTGAGAATAATTAAAATGCTTTCCCCAAAATATCATTTAACTTTGTCTTGCAATAAGTAAAATCATGTCAGAAATTGTTTCTCAGAAATAATAGCAAACCAACAACATGAATAATAGCAACACTGAGACAGGAACAAACCTGTCCACTCATTGCTCTTTGTAAAATCAATGCCAACAATCAGATTAGATGATTCAAGACCAGCATTTGAAAGAGCTTCTGTTACCTGCATTTAAAAGGTGGAAAGGTATTAATGTAGCTATAAGTTATGTGACAAAGAATCATAACTAGAGTTTCTCTACAGGGGCTATCATCAATTTCAACTCATTAACGTAGCTTAAAGTGCCAAATGGAATAGTAAAATGTTCCAAAACGTTAGCAGCATACTGTATAGCTGACGGCTGATAAAACTTCTATTTATCTGAGTTATTGACCATCCCTCAATATATGATATTCTAACATCAGTTAAAAGTGAACCTTAAACCGCACTTATGGGGAATTGGTTATTGCTCCTTTCTTCCCTCGCCTCAGAAGTGCACAAAGATGCCATGTTGTCAGAGCCCATGGTACACATTTCCAATATAGTTGAGTTTTGAGTCAACTAAGCAAGTTTTTGAATAAATTTAGCATATTAAGTTTTGTTTTCATAAATTCCTGAAGTCCTATGGTTCCACAAAAATCTGAGGAGACCAAAATTTAACCTAAGAATCACAAATAATATTGTATTTTGCCTATACCCAATGTTTTCTTTTGTGAAAATAAATTCGGTGTGGGACTCGACACAAGCCAATATAAGTGATCATATATTTCCGAGCTTACATATTCATGTCCTCACCAGACAACATCAAGATCATCCCATCATCAACTCTGATCATCCTCCATTCAACCCCTTGCCAGCTCCAATCACCATCTTTGCAGTTACACGGTCCGTTAACACATGAATTCGGGCCAAGATTCATTTTCATAACATAGGTAGCAATCTAGACCTTCCTTAAAAGGCTAATTATAACTTATTACTTATTCTTGGTCCAATTAATTCCCCGTCTTGTGCACATACAAATACTCAAAGTGACTGTAATCCTATAACTCATTTTAAATTTGGGATCATGCATGTAAAGTATACAACCCTATATCATTCCTGTGCTCACCTATCAACCACAAATTTAGGATCTTCTTTATGAGTGACGTCTGATCTTGTTCTAAAACTTGTCAAGTGCATACTAAGAACTAGACCATAGTTTCACAAATTGTAGTTAAGCGACATCAAATGAATGCTTTTAACCTCGCATGGTGAAGACCCAAGAGCATAACGTACCTGTTCAACAGAGTCGTAATCATCGCCTATCTTCGAATACTTCTTCTGCAACCTCCCTGTCGCCCTGGGCAGGTCATGTGCCCCCGGGTGTGATGAGTACCTCGAAGTGCTCCGTGATGTCGTAGATACATATTGCGGATAATGATTAGACCCTCTGGACTTCGATAATCTTCCTCCCATGGCCAGAGCTGAAATATCGCATAAGATCTATAAGAATCGTATG